AAATCAGTTGTATTCTCTGTTCATATGAACACATGGTTGAGAGGACACTTGGACTTAGAAATACTTGTCTGTGCTTGGGTGATACAAGGAGATTCACACCTACCACATAGTCAGTCACTCCGGTGGCATTGAATGACATTTGGATGCTCAGCTTTTGTTTCTTGAAGAAGATACTATATCCTTGGGTCATGGCCTCCTGAAAAGTCAGAGTTTGGACTTTTGCACCGTCACCAACCTCCATGATCCATCTCATCAGAGTCTTGGAATCCTAAAGACACAAGTTTCATTTAGAGAGCTGGTGCTCACCTTAACCCCAAGACTATTTGTCTATTTAATGTTTTATTTTTTATTTGTTAAGGTTTTATTTGTCAGAGAGAGAGAGAGAGAGAACAAGTGTGCACACAAGAAGCAGGAACCACAGGCAGAAGCAGGCTCCCCGCTGAGCAAGGAGCCTGATGCGGGACTCGATCCCAGGACCCTGCGATCATGATCTGAGCGGAAGGCAGACACTTAACCGACTGAGCCATCCAGGCATTCTATACTTAATATTTTAAAATCAGGATTCAAGTTAGGTTACTTTCACTAGAAAATTAAAGTTACTTAGGTAATTTAAAAAGTTACTTCCATACCGAATTTTCATCAGCCATGCCCGGAATAACATTGAAGGTAAACTGGAAAAAAAGAAACCATGATGTGAGGTTTTGATTTAGAGGAGCAAGTTTCTGAAATCACACTACCTGACAGCATGTGCAAGATGCCCAGAGCAACTGCTATATAGTTCTTACACCAAGAGGCCTGATAGTGGGCATAGTAAGAAAAGGCACAGGTCGACTCATGAAAACTAGCTGTCCAGCTGTCCTCTTAGGTATCATTTCATCTCTGAGCTTCTGATCGGAAGATCTAAGCTTCCTTCCAGTTTTAAGTTAAGACAGTGGATTTTTAGGTGCACATTTTTTACCTTCATGCATAGGAATCAAGAATTAGGTCAAACCACACAGTTCTATCATTGTTCTAACAAAACATGAATGTATTTTAGTTGTCCATTATCAATATTTGTTAGGTTAGACTATAAACTTCCTAAATAGGTGATTGGAATATTGTGCTTTTTAACTATATCCTATCATTTGGCATAGAACCCGGGACATGATAGCTATTCCATTTGCTGAATGATTATTATTAACGTGACTGCAGCTACCAATGGAATCTTTTCTACTACCAGGTATGATGTGCTGAGGACTGTATATACCCTCTCAATTTTTATCGCCACCCTCTGAGATATTATTGCCCCCTCTTTCGGACCTGGAATCAAAGGCTCAGTGTGGTTAAGAAGTCAATCCAAAGCCACCCAACAAATTAGTAGTTGAATACAGGATTGTAAGCCTGATCCTGTTCCTAACCCCAGCTCTGTGTAGACCAGCACATTTCCCCTGCAGTAGCCATGAGAAGCAGTCACCCTGCTTCACTCACAGACATGGAATCCTTTGTGCAGATAGTGGATCCAGCATGCTCCTGAGTTTCTTCTGCTTGCGCAACTGGACATCTGATGTGATATATGAAAGTCGTAGATGGTAAAGCAGTAGTATTGTCCAGGAGGCTGATGGCAATCAGGTGCTGGCCATGCTGTGTGTAAATGGCACGATAAGAAGAGTAAGTGCTGGGACCTCCATGGGAAAGCCAAATCCGTGATACCATTGGACCCAGCCGAGTGGTGCAACTCTTGAGGTTACCAGTACCACAGGTTCTGGAAGGTACCTCATTCCCGTATCAACAGACTCTACAACTAGCCCTTTTAGATATCCCAGGAAGACGCCAGTCTTGGCAGCAAATAGCTCCTTGAGCTTCAGGGATTGGAGTTCTATTTTTGAATTCTTGACATTTACCTTTGTCAGAATATCATAGTTCTGGCTAATTTGGAGTCTCTACCCAAGTCATTCTCACATGTATTGAGCACCTACATAGCAGCCATTGCTCCGGGTGGTAGAGAGAGCCAACTTTGGTATTTCCCCTGGTTTAGGGAAGTCATAGTCTCAAGTAAGGGAGAGTCACCCTTTTTCTATAAAATTGCAGTAAATATTTTAGGCATCTTAGGCCACATATGATTTCTAGCATATACTTTAAGTCCTTAAAAACCTAACTATTCTTAGCTCAAGGACCATTACACACATGCACACATGCATACCATGAGCTAAATGTGCCCACCCCCACGTTTTACTTTGCAAACCCTTGATCTACAGGAAATCAATCCTAAGCTCCCAAGTTGCTAAGGGCTATTTCAGAAAGGGAAAAATTACTAAAGATCCTCACCATGTAATTAGATGAAGTGGTCAGTTAAATACGCAGATTTCTACCATGTATCTCAGACCTAAGTCATCAACTAAAGGAACTAAAGGAACTAAGTCTATACTTTCCCAATTCCCCAAGGGAGTCTTTGCACACAAGCTGGAGAACTGCTTGACGGGTTTCTTTTACGGCTCCCAATAACCCTGATTAGGCAATACCGTTGCTTGGCAATGGAGAAAACCCTATTGCTCAGCTGCTGTTTTCCTTCCCACACCTGTTTTTATAGCATAGCAGTTCTGTTTGCCAGCACCAAAATAGCCTTCCCTTTCCCATGGAGGTTACAGATCAAAATAGCTCCTTTTGAGCGTTTGTTCTATCTTGTTGCTGTGCCAAGTTCTTCATCTGCATCTTATCATTCATCTTTAGATACCCTTTGGAGAGGGTGCCATGAGCAAGCAAAGAAAGATTAGCTCACTTGCTAGAGATCACAACTAGATAATGACAAAGCCAGGACTCACACCAAGCCTCCAACTTCAGGATTTCTCAACCTCAGCATTATTGGCATTTCAGGCCTGAAATCCCTGTCAGAGGGGGCCCCGTGTGCAATGTGGGGTATTTAGCTGCAACCTCAACTTGTACAGACAGCACCCCCACTCTAGTTGTGGCAGCCAATAAGGTCTTCAAAATGTTTCCAAACACTGCCAAATATCCCTTGGGCAGACAAAACAGAAAACAAAAACAAAACAATACAAAACAAAAAACAAAAAAACAACCAACCAATGTCCCAATGCTTAGGGACATTAAGCAACCCTGGTTGAGAGTAAAAGCTCTACCTTCAAGCCTATATACCCTTAATTAGTAGGGTTACTAGTAGTAACTACTAGGTTACTAATTCCCAAATCACTCTTCAAAGCTATTACTTACCACTCTCTTCGTACAGGTCTCATATGGGACATTCAGGGTGAGCTTTTCTGAGTCCAGGATGGAAATGCAGTTCCATGATTTAAAACTAATGGGATCTACAGAAGCCAGAGCAAAGAGCCAAAAAGTACATTTCAGTGGCAAAGTAAACCAAAGCTACATAGCCAGTCCTGCCAATCCATTTCTAAGTTATTTCAAACCACTTCACGTTTTATTGTTCCATCTGGTGATAGGACCCAAGCTTTGAGAGATGGTGTGATTTGCAACTAAAAAAATTCCCAGGGGATTCGGAGATAAATTTCTGAGGAAAGGCAAGGTCTTCCACTCTTGGTGGTATCATGCAAATCAGAGACCTCTAGGGCATTGTGGTAATTGGATGCCAGTTGCTCCCGAGTGTGTATTCTGTTCACCTGAAAAATGGGGCTAGCCTTGAGCCCAGGCCTTCCTACTAAGACGAAGATAAGAATATACACATTACCTACCCACCACAGATGCATGCCATTTTTCGGCGCCCAGATTGCTTGGAAATTCCACTACCATTCTATTTTCATTGCAAAAGACAGTACCTGAAGAGAAAAGGAAGCAACTGGAGTATATCTGAGCTGTAGGAGACAGGATTCCTCCAGAAGTATATGGAGGACCTCTTCTCCAATAGGTATCAAGGAAGGGTACCGTTTTTGAGAGGCAAAGCTTGACCCCCCACCCTCAAGGAGCTCACAGATTGGTGGAAAAGATGTACTTACTGTGCAAGATACTAACTATAAGAAAGATATCAAATGCCTGGGGCTTTCTGAAGTTCTAGGTTAGGTTTAACCACACATACAGAGACCAGGCTAGAACTTGACAGCAGAGCTGATGGAGGTGGGGATGGTAGGTCTGTGAAGAACTGGAGAAGAGGGGCGCCTGGGTGGCTCAGTGGGGCGCCTGGGTGGCTCAGTGGGTTAAAGCCTCTGCCTTCAGCTCCGGTCATGATCTCAGGGTCCTGGGATCGAGCCCCACATCGGGCTCTCTGCTCAGCAGGGAGCCTGCTTCCTCCCCTCTCTCTCTCTCTGCCTGCCTCTCTGCCTACTTGTGATCTCTGTCTGTCAAATAAATAAATAAAATCTTAAAAAAAAAAAAAAGAACTGGAGAAGAAATGTTCTTTCTAAACACTTTTGAACTTGCAATTTAAAAAAAAACAACAACAACAACAACAACAACCCTACATGGAGCACCTGGCTGGCTCAGTTGGAAGAGCATGTGAGACTCTTGATCTTGGGGTGGGAATTTCGAGCCCCACGTTGAGTGTAGTGATAACTTAAGTAAACTTCAAATACAATGCCCCATGTAAGCCAAAGGACACTTCTTAAAGGCTAAATTCTTTTTTAGCCTTTTTTTAAAGGCTAAATTCTACATATAATCTGCTACTCTACATCCTCTCACTCAGGGGAAAGTTTGAAAAGCTCTTATGAGTGGAACAATTTCAGTTTTGTCGGTTATGCTGATGCTTTCCTTAAGTACGAGTTTGGGTTTGAAAATGACTACTCCTGAAGTTGGGGGCTCAGTATTGTGTTTCACTGTTCTTTAGATAGATACCATAAATCTTGAGGTAATGAGGGAGTAGAAAGTAGTATGGGTGTTTTGCGAGATCTTTTGTTTAGCTAGTATAGCAAGCCATAGGAGAGCAATGGAAAAATCTTTTGACTTTATCAATGAAAGAAAGGGGTGAGTCGAAATTGTCTGAGCCGTATTCAGGTTTCCTAGCTATCTAGTTGCAACCTGTTTTAGAGATGCTAAGAGCATTTCCCCTCACCCTACAGGCATACCTGGGAAGACAGGATCTCCCAACTGAAAAGCACCTGTTGAGTTCACTGAAGTCACAAGGATGAAGAATAAAGAAAGTGACCTGTAGGTGCTAAAAGGGGATTGGAGAGGATTAAGGAGGAATGAATTTCAACAGATAAGGCCATCGTGTCCCCTCTCTCTACTGTCAGGATTACTCACCTCCAATCCGCTCTAAACCAGCTTGAGGGGCTCCCACACACTCCCTTCTGTCTGCACGCCATGACCAAATGTATCATCAAATCCGCCAGGTAGGTGGGTGGGCGCCTCTTTTTTTTATAGCAGAAAACAGGATGTGACCCTGCCCTCTCCCATTGGAGACACCTGAGTCTTCTCCAGCCCTCCCAGCTGAGAGAGAGGGATTTGGAACAGAAGAGGCTTTCAGGAAGGCCTGAAGGAAGCATCATTCTGCCCTTTCTGACACTTGTATTTCCGTTATTCTACCAGGTGCTCTGCAGGCTGCCATGAAACCAGAGCTCCCTGAAATTGGCTCCAGGTGAATGAACTGGTGTTTTTCTCCATAACACTGGGCAAAATTAGTTTCTTTGGGCAAAATATTTACAACTCCAATGTAGAGTGAAAGAAGGAGGTGGTTTTATTGAGGAATGAATATCTCTTGTTCATACCACCTTTCCTTGAAGTAATCCCCCTAGTCTCCTGGCTATTGGAGACCTTACCCTGGTAACTAACCTTTACAGAAAATGGATGGTATAAAGGGGTGCCTGGGTGGCTCAGTGGGTTAAAGCCTCTGACTTTGGCTCAGGTCATGATCTCGGGGTCCTGGGATCGAGCCCCAGATCAGGCTTTCTGCTCAGTGGGGAGCCTGTTTCTGCCCTCCCCACCGCCTCTCTCTCTGACTACTTGTGATCTCTATCTGTCAAATAAATAAATAAAATCTTTAAAAAGAAAAAAAAAGAAAATGGATGATATATTATTTACCCCAAGTATAAAAGTTAAAACCTACTGCAAAAAAATGCAGGCAATTATAGAAGGCTACAGAGAAAAGGAAAAAGTCACCTGTAATCTTGCCACTGGTAAGATTTAGGTATGTAACTTTATGGACTTTTTATACAAACACCACACACACTTAAAACCAACAACTTCGGATCAAAGTTTAAGTTATGTTTCATAACCAGCTTTCACTATTTTACATGGGGTGGACATTTTCTTTAACAAACATAAAGATTGCCATTACCATTTTTAAGGATGCCTCATGTTCAATGTCTAGATAAATCAGTGTTTAACTGTTCCTAATGATGGACATTAAAAAGCTTCCAATTTTCCAGTTCATCCAGGATGAATTCCTGGAGGTAGAAATTCTGGGTCAAAGAGAGTAGTGATCTAAATAAGAGTGTCATATTGTACCAGTGGGGAGTTTACACGTGGGAAAAAGGAGGCAAAGCAACTTGCCCCAGCCTGTTGACAACTGAGTGTCAGAGCCATGTTGAGAACTCAGATTTTCTAAGGCCCAATCGACATATCTTTTCATCATCTCTCACTGCAATTTGAGAACCTAGATGTCTGCAACCCTTGTTCTATTAATAGGTGATTAATGTTCAAATTCTGTGCAAGTTGCGGGGTCACATTTGCAATTATTGTGTTGTCTTCGTGGTGTAACTTTAGGAGTAATCTCCACTCCCCATTACAGGTTTCTGAAATGTAATTGTAGGTTAGGGTAGTATTCCAACCTCCTTGATCAAACATCACATGCATCTCTCATTAACAGCACAGATTCCTGGGTCTCACCCAAAAGCTGTGGAATCAGGCTTCAGGGGAGCGTCCAGAGTGGATGGATGTATTGTTTAACAAGCACCCCAGGTGAGTCTTAAGATCAAGGAAATTTGGCAAATACCTGGAGGGAGGGAGGCAAGAAAATGAGTGGTTGCTAGCAGTTATTAACTTCTTCATGGGAATTAACCGATTCTGTTAAAAGGAATTGGGGAGCCAGAGCAAAAGCCAAGATAAGCAAGTTTCTGTGAGTAGACGTGGTGAAAGGATTTGGATTCTGAGCAGAGGCACAATAGCAACAGTTAATCCTTTCCTCTGAATCGTATTTTCTGAAAAGTGACACCTGTTCTGCAAATGTGAAGGTATTCTACCATGATGGTTAAGACTATGATGGGAAGGCAGTAGAGGATGGAGTATGGAGGGATGATTGCGAGAGCCCTGGTCAGAATGTGGTCAGAGAGCCAATAGGCGAATGTGTTACTCTGCCTTCTGAGGTCCCACCCCCAGGCTCTTTCCCCCCTTTCCCCATGCTGTGCTTTTTCTCTAGAGTGTTAGGTCTTGCTTTATGAAGGGCAGCTCTGGTCTCAGCCCCAAACTCGGGGTTCTGGGAGATGAAAGGGCAGCACAAAAGCCCTGAGCGGGAGGCATGGAGAGAAGGAGGATCCCTGTGGGCACTGGAGAAGGTGGTGAGCCCACCAGAGACTTATTTCATTAGCACACTTCGCTAATCACTACAAGGTATTTCCTCTCCTCTCTGAATGGGTCTCTCCTGGAGTGTCTTGAGGGGACTTACCGCTTGCTAATCGCCAGGCATTTCTTGAACGGAACTTTAGGTTGTTATGCATAGGACCAAGAGTGTTGTTGCCCCATTTGGGCAGGTGCCCTCCTTACTTCTGAAAACCAGTTCTTACAAACAACAGTTTAAAATTCTTAAATTCCAAGCTTTTTGTCTTATTTTCTACAATATGAACATATTAATAGAATACAGCCTAAATGTTATCATCAGGAGATGGTTAGATGAACCATCATCAAATACTAAGATGGATCTGTGGATTCAGGTGATCTGTGGAGGTTGATATTGAAGATGTCCACAATGAAATCGGAGCTTGGAGGTGTATAATTGTTTTCGTATTTTACTTTAAAAAAAGAAAGAAACCGTGTGTATGTCTATACATTTATGTGTCCGTGCATGGGTATGTAAATGTGCATTTGCACTGAAAAGCCAAGAAGGCATTTCCGGAGAGCTAACCGTGTTACCCAGGGAAGAAGACCATGCAGGTCTTTAGGCGGTCCAGCCCAGTCCAGCTATGCTCGCCATTTATAACTATTGTCGGTTCCTATTGGTTTGTGCTCTCGTTCTACTATTGGTTAGAAATGTATGTACTATATCATGCGTAGAAATAGGAAGGTGGGAAACTCCTGTTTTCTGACTTTATTTTTTTCTGTATTGATTGAATTGTCTTGTGATAAAATAACAATTAAAATAACTTTAGGGGTTCCTGGTTGGCTCAGTCATTAAGTGTCTGCCTTTCGCTCAGGTCACGATCCCAGCATCCTGGGATCGGTCCGGCCTCCAGCTCCCTGCTCGGTGGGAAGTCTGCTTCTCCCTCTCCCACTCCCTCCGCTTGTGTTCCCTCTCTCACTGCGTCTCTCTCTGTCAAATAAATAAAGAAAATCTTAAAAAAAAAAAAAAGACCATAATATTAAAAAAATAAAATAAAATAACTTTAAAGTGATAACAGCAGTAACAGTAAATCTGAGTTGTATTTAAGCGAACAGTGTAAGCTATAGAATCAAAGGGTCGTGGGTTCCAACTTCCTGAAATAAAGGTATAACACCCGAGTGAGTGGATTTGGTTCATGAGGCTTCCAAAGTCCATATCCCTATTGTAAAATGAAGAAATGATGCCTAAGAGGTTTAGTAACTTGCTCAAGATCATATGGAAAATTAGTAGCAGAGCTCCAGTGATAAACTAGGTCTCAATGTCCATTCCCAAGCTCTAATTCATTATGATTTTTCTCTCTCTTTCTCCCTCTGTGTGTGTGCGTGTCTGTGCATGTATGAGGGGGTGTTTTAAAACTCAGTTTCAGTTAGCTTTAGAAGTACAAGATGGCATTAATTAGAATTTAGCAGTATAAGATAAATAAGTCTAGAAACTTCTACCAGCTATGCTAATAGCACTTAAAATAGCTTTCAAATGTCAGATATGAATTTAACTTGGGAAAATAAGTTAGACTATGTCAATGAGAATGTTCTTGAACATCATATGGTAGTTCCTTTAACACTGTAACTCTACATTGTTAATGTCATTTTCCCCTTTGGTTCTTTAGACAGATCCAAGTTGAATAAGCTTCCTGATAATCATGGGCTCAGAAAGAACTAGGACAAAGGCATACGAAGTTTCAGTGACCTGTAAATATAAGGATAGGGAAGCTTAGGGAAAAGGATGACAGAGATGGCTCAGAAGCTCTAAATAAAAATCTGTTTATATACAAGTATTAACATGAATTGCTCCACAGGTAGCTAGGGTAGTGGTTACCACAGAAATAGAGAAAAGGTTTCCTTGGCAATGCAGTTTATTCCTTTTAGTTGATGGAATATATGTTAAATACTAAAGTTCTGAAGCTGATGCAGAGATCTGTTGCAAAAGTCACAATCTTCCACTTCTTCCTATACTGCTGTCCCTTATAATATGCTTTGAGGTCAGCTTATTCCCTGTGCCCTTCCTTCCCCCCTTGAATCTGGCTGGTTTGACCAACAGAATGTGGTAGGAATGGCAATATGCCAGTTCTGAGCCTCGCTCCTTGGAGGTCTTTTTATTTAGAGGTAGAACCTCTAATTTAACTTAAAATGAGATCATTAGAGTGGGCCATAATGCAGTATGACTGCTGTCCTTAACAGAAGAGGAAATTTGGGCACAGACATACACCAAGGTTAGATAATGTGAAGACACAAGGAGAAGATGGCCATCTATGAGCCAAGGACAGAGGCCCAGAACAGTCCCTCACAGCCCTTAGGAGGAGCCAACCCTGCTGACACTTTGATTTCAGATTTCTAACTTCCAGAACTATAAGAAAAAAATTCTGTTGGCTAAGCCACCAAGTCTGAGGCACTTTATTGTGGTAGCCCTAGAAGACAAATACATATTCTCAGATTGAGATAGAACTGTGTGTGACTATAAAATATGTTCTCGTTTTACTGTAACATGGTAAGGGATAGGACCAAAAAACCCAAGTCCTAGTTGTTGTTACTTAGGAAAAAATGCAGAGAAAAGAAGTTTTAAGAAAATGCAGTCATTAGGGGCGCCTGAGTGGCTCAGTGGGTTAAACCTTTTACTTCGGCTCAGGTCATGGTCTCAGGGTCCCGGGATCGAGCCCCGCATCGGGCTCTCTGCTCGGCAGGGAGCCTGCTTCCCCCTCTCTCTCTGCCTGCCTCTCTGCCTACTTGTGATCTCTCTCTGTCAAATAAATAAATAAAATATAAAAAAAAGAAAATGCAGTAATTATACATCTATGATTGACCTAAAGAAGGGGGAGAGAGTTCTTACTTTTCTAGTAGTAGTACTTCTGCTTCTACTCTACTTCTGCTTCTATTTCCAGTAGGATGACTACTAATTTATGTTCATTGAGTAATGACTATACACCACACACTGTGTGAAGTATTTTACAAAGACTAACTCTATCTAGTTACTTGCAACAGCCCTGTAAATAATATTACTTGCAATAACTCTGTGGAGTTTTCTGTTCATTTTACTGGCAAGGAAATGAAACTCGGAAGTAATCTGTCCAAATGAACGTCAGAATCTAATTTCTGGTTTAGTGTCTGTCAGTCTCTGACTTAAGAATCTGTGTTCTTAACCGTTACTGTGTTAGAACTTTGTTTCAACACAATGCATGGTGTTCACATTTGCCTGGTTTCCAATCCAACTATCAGCTTTGAGAGAACTGAATGGTTTTGATGGTATTTGATGATCTGCTAAAGGGTACTAAAACATACCTCCCTTGTGGTAAATTCTGCCATCTTGAAACAAAATGGCAGCGAATATTGGTTTCCCAGTGATCATTGTTCTTGCAATTATTTTTAAGAACTTAAGCTTTGGGTAAGTATTCATGTCATATGAGTTTATTGATTGAAGTCCTCAATTCACAGAGCCACTAATTAAGGAGAAAGGGGAAAAGGCAAAAGAAAAAGGAAATTTGTCTAGCTAATAAAGCCAGCTGATTGAAGTGTAGAATTTAAATTCATAGTCCCTGCCTAGACTATCCAGTGTTCACATTTTAAAGAATTTGTTTTTGGAAACCTTTCTAAAACTCTCCACTGTTACAATGTAATGCCATCTGGGATTTAGCATTTATAAAATGTGTAGTTAAGAGATGCCAAGAGATTCCTCATGCAAACCAGATGGTACAATAACAGCTCTGTCTGTTTTTCTGGCAGAGAAATGGGGCTTTGAATGGCTTGAAACTTATGTGAATAAATTAAGCCCAATCAATACTTCAGGGACATCACAATTTCAATAGTCGACTTACCCACCTAAATATTTTCATAAATGTTTTCATTTGGAGAAAAAAAAAAAAAACAAAAGTGCAGACAATGGTTCCTTTGATTGCCTCATGTTTGTATTTAACAATGTTTCTAAGAAAAATACCACCAATGACCTTCAACATGGGAAAGAAAGTTTCTCTGTATTTTAAGAGTGGTATATGTGTTTAAATAAGAAGCAAGGTTTTTCAGTCTCTTTTGAATAGGAAAAATCCACATTAGATAGGTTGAAGAGTTTTATTGCTATGCAGAGGAGAAAAAAAATACATGTGTAAGTGACATTTTCTGGATAATGGACTTGAAAATGTCTTTACCTCAACAGGTAGGTTTCTCACAAACCCAAGTTCAGCACATAAAGTCGTGTATTTTTTTTTTTTTTTAAAGATTTTATTTATTTATTTGACAGAGAGAGAGATCACAAGTAGGCAGAGAGAGAGAGAGAAGCAGGCTCCCTGCTGAGCAAAGAGCCCGATGCGGGGCTCGATCCCAGGACACTGAGATCATGACCTGAGCCGAAGACAGCGGCTTAATCCACTGAGCCACC